GCTATATTATCCGCATTTTACAACATTTCGCAACGAAACTTTGGAATATTACTAATTTTGTGATGCTCTTTCAAGCTGTGATGAAATTTTTGACTAGATCAAAATTTGGTCTATAATGCAAATGGTCCATTAGGTAAGCGTAATACTTGATGTCAAGCGCATGTGATCATATCCAACAGTAAAATTGCGCTATGGAAATGATAATCTTAAATCTTAATCTTAGGTGTGCAAATCCAATACGAAACCGATAACTCATTTCCATGTATTGTACAAAAGGTTTATAATCAGTCTTACAGACAGAGACCTGTGAAGTTATAAATTCACTCCTTCTAAGCCTGATCAAATCTCGTGAGAAAGGCGAATACAGGTCAATGATAAAACTTACTAGGAAATCATCAGGTGCTATGTGAAATAACTCTCGAAAATACCTAGTAACATAAAGACAGAGGATATTAGACAACAAATAGACCTTTCCCCTTTTAAGTGAAATTTTGATCTAGACAAGCCTAAACAAAAATTTCATCACAGCTTGAAAGAGCATCACAAAATTAGTAACATTCCGAAGTTTCGTTGCGAAATGTTGTAAAATGCGGATAATATAGCCTTGCGAAGTTTGCCGTTTTTCAGTCATTTTGATTACAAATGGGAAATTGATAATCAGTTTGATCATCTGATTATCAATTTCCCGTTTGTAATACCAAATGACTGAAAAGGTGAAAAACGGCAAACTTCGCAAGGCTATAGTATCCGCATTTTACAACATTTCGCAACGAAACTTCGGAATATTACTAATTTTGTGATGCTCTTTCAAGCTGTAATGAAATTTTTGTCCAGACTTGTCTAGATCAAAATTTCACTTAAAAGGGGAAAGGTCTATTGCCATGTGTTTGTGTCCCAGTGTGGGTAGCAATAATAACAAGACAGGAGCGGATTGAAAGAGATGCACACAAGCATGGCCGGATTTTGAGGGGAGGTGCGCACCTCTCCTGAGATCGTTTTGCACTTCCCCTGAAAATTTTTGCACCTCCCCTGAAAAGTCAATCACCTCGCCTTGGGAAAGTTTCAATGATAGATCAAAGTGAAAATTTGACATTTTTTGGTTGCTTATGGTCTACACTTCGTAAGAAAGGGTTTTTTCTGTAAAATTGAAACAGTCATAGCCATTCGTCTCTGCGACAAGCATCCTTTTAATGCAATGTTTTGAAAGAAACTTTGTAGTTAATTGTAATGAAGGGCAAAATTGGATGAGCTGTACAGACATACAGTAATTAATTAAAACACTGGATGCATACGTAACGTCGTTGAGGATTCTAAGACCTAACTTTCCATGGGAGTCGTGAGCTTGACTGCTGCACCTCCCCTAATTTTTTCCCCACCTCCCCCACTATTTCCGCCAAAATCCGGCATTGCAGACAACTACCTGAAAAATATACTGTAAGCAGAAATGTAACGTTTCGGGCGAAGGCCCTTCATCGCTCGCTCAAAGTTCAGGTTGTATTTGTTCACTAGGTAGTTGTAATTCTCTCAATTCACATCTTGTACAGTAAATATAGATTGATACAGTATGGACGTAATAAATATAGATACAATTTAAATATATTGTATAGAGTGTTCATGCACATTTATTTTGGAATACTGACATGACTTATGTGTAGCTACAGTACAAGCAGTGTATTTATCTGAGTGTATAGCATGAAAATAAGCTAACAATAACAATAATAATAACAGAGAGGTCCAGATTTTGGTATACACTAGTGCTACCGTTACCAATTTAATACACAATCGGATGCATTTAATTAATCTATCCGATTAACAATCAAATGCGTGTATTAAGCCCGTGCATGGGAGGTCATGTACTGTATGTAGCAGTAGTGGAAGTCACATCTGAACCTCCCTAATATATATTATATATTTGCAGATTCACCTGCAATCTGAAGGCCTGTTGAAGGTATTGAATATTTTAGCTATTCTTAAGTTTAGCTATTCTCGGTATTCATACAGTAAGTACTCACAATGCTATTGTACGTCATACGCATACTTCCAAAAACCGTCTGGAAAACCCCGGAAAAACCGATTTTTATAACTTACGTCAAAATATACTACAGTTAAAAACAATTGTATTAATGGTACTGTATAGTACAGAATACTGCTATAATGTGTAAGCAGTAAGCCACCGTTAGTTGTGCTATTAGCCTATTTTCATACGTTTTTAACGTTTGGAAGTTGGAAGTTTCGTCAGAAAACGCGGAACAAGGTGCCATTCTGTTTCCATATTACTGGGTTTCAAACAGTTTTTTCCGAATTTTCAGTTTCTTCGGGTTTTTTTGCCTAGAATCTGAATCAGTTTTCAAAAAACATCGTCTTTTTCCAGTTTACCAGTTTACCTTGTAGTACATGTATGTGAAAATTTCTTTTACCTAAATGCAACAGGTGCATATGCTTTGAATCTGAACTCACTATAGTGATGAGCAGGAGTCTCTTGACGACCATCACTAGACAAACAAAACAAATTACTAATTAGATAACAGAATACTCTAGTTGTAAGGAATAAATATACTCATTTAAATTAAATGTTGTAGATACCTTGGGAAAAGCACACTTTCAATTTCATAGAAATCACCCATCAGTACATCGCGTTCCACTTTAGATGACAAGCGGCCAACCTAATGATAAATTCAATATTAAGTTTCTTTACTTCGTACAGGAAAATGTTGGCAAACATATATACTGCAATATTAATAGTAGCATTATGCTGACATACTGAATACTGGATGCCAAGTTGAATTGCTGACACCAATGCAGAAGATGGTTGCTAAAATTACAAAACACCAGATTAGTAAAGAATTAGTTTAAGACAGTTGTCTACTTGCACACTTTGGTTTTCTACTGTGTAGGTTTTCCAGAAAATTTCCACACATTTCCGGAAAATTTCCATACTATGGCCATGTGCAAAACTGCTGGATAGAGGTTGGACTAATAATCCCCAAGGGTACTAATTCTACCCGCCTATTTACACCCAGTGACCCAGGAAAAGGAAAGCATTAGCGAAGTCTTAAGTTCATCAATAATCGTGGGCGCATGGCTATGTTTCATTGTGCATATATGGTCATCCCTTACTGATCTCAATTTAGTGTATTTTCCATTGGTTACCCTTTTTTATTAGCTATGTACATGTATTTTTAATGCGAGAATTGCACAATTTGAAATAATTTCATTTCAAACTCAAAGTTTATCAATAAAAGGCAGTTTAGTTTAATGAACATTTTATAAAGAGTTTGTGGTTGAATTTTACATTAAATTGAAGCTTAATATATAACGCATAGTAACATACTGTACCTAACATATATATAATTTTATATTTGGGAAATTGCTAAATGCTAATCTTGTAATTTTTTTTTTTCTGGGGGGGGGGGTTCCAATTTTATTAAAAAAATATAAAGAATCATGTTGTCATGACAACCAATTTCAAATACTTCATGTTTGGAAAATATAGTTGTTTTGCTTGCAAAGCAAGGAGTTCCTGCATGCATGTATTTCTAGTACTTTCTAGAAAAGTGTACACTAACTTTAACATACCTTTTTATATGTGATCTGTCCATCTTCATTAATTCTCCTATGACCAATCTTTGTTTCCTTTCTTTTGACTGAAACCAATTCATCCTGCTCCTTATCTCGTTCTTTGACTTTGTCATTTCCAACATCCACTTGATTTAACTACAGTAAGACAAGTTCATATATTTCAGGGTGCTATAGTACATTAAAAATTGTTATACACACTAAGTTATACACTCAGTCTGTTTTACCAAATAATTTTAACTACTGTAGGACTTAGATCAGAACTTATGAAAAAATTAAAAATATAGGATGGTCCAACTTCAAAGCTTCGCACAAGTCGAGGATGTCATCTAGCTAAGCCTAAAATATATTTGTCTGTTTTAGTACAGTATGCAAAACAATGTCAGGTGACTTGCACTTCATTTCTTAACTTGTGCGTGAGTGTGAATGTCACATACTAACTGAATATCCCAATTTTTTCTGTATTTATTCAGAGCCTGACTGTATACAGATTATAGAGAGAAGTTAATCTGATGCTAGTACACAACAGGTTTAGATATCTAAAGATAGTGCTTTTATCATTTGACCAAACTCTACAAGGCCGGATTTTGGTGAAAATAGTGGGAGAGGTGGAAAAAAGCAGCGGTCTAGCTCACAACTCCCATGGAAAGTTAGGACTTAGAACGGGCCAAAGTGAACGACGTGACATATGCATGTAGTGTACATATGTATCAGTGAATTAATGAATTATGACTGTACAACCCATCTTTCAAAACTTTGCATTGAAAGGGTACTTGACACAGAGATGAATGGCTATCCCTGTTTTAATTTTACAGAAAAACGTTCTTACAAAGTGTAGACCCTAAACAACCAAACACATCAAATTTTCACTTTGATCTATCATTGAAAGGGGAGGTGCAAAAATTCTCAGAGGATGTGCAGAACGATCTCAGGGGAAGTGCACATCTTTCCTCAAAATCCGGCCATGAATTAGATGTCCCTCAATTAAATGCTTTGTAAACTATAGTTCATTTTGTTTTGCCAAATGACGATGTCATTAGAATTCTGATCGTACCTTGTGAATACTGAGTAAGTGAATTGTAAATTGTAGCTGATCTGATAAATTATCCTTCACAGGACAAAACATTTTGGGTTGCCATGCATGCTACAGTCAGTGTACAGTAACTGTTCCATAAATACTTAAATTTTGCATGTTTTGTGCAGACCATGCCAGCAAAGTACAGTAATAAACCCTAATGGAAAAGCAAGGATAGACTATGCCCTTGGCAGCAGCAACTCGTACTCAACCTATTCCAATATAAACTGTGAACATGGTAGTTGAGAACATGGTACCGGTACTTGTGTGATGTTACTCTGAGTGTATATCCACACCGGGCAGGCTTGAAAAATATGCCTGGCCACAGTGGGAATCGAACCTACAACCTTTGGAATACTAGCCCAACGCTCTGCCAACTGAGCTACGCAGTCAGGTTGGTTCGAGTATGCGATATTTCGGAATTGAGTCTAGTTCCTTCGATATCAGTGTAATAATCGACCTGACCAATATCCGACCTGACCGCGTAGCTCAGTTGGCAGAGCATTGGGCTAGTATTCCAAAGGTCGTAGGTTCGATTCCCACCGTGGCCAGGCATATTTTTCAAGCCTGCTCGGTGTGGATATACACTCAGAGTAACATCACACAAGCATCTTATTCACCTGAGTACATTACACCAACACAGCAAATTTTAGTTGCTATGCTATAACAAGAATACTAACTTACACAACCATTACTGACCTCTAAAGGTGCAGGTTTAACTTTAGATTTACCATCAGATGGCTTCCCTTTAGGAGAAAATGCATACGATGTTGCACCCTTGCCTGAAAGAAAATCATTTCAGTAACATGGTTCTCGTAATACAGACTGTGAAAATTTGTGGCATTGCTTGTAGACCCCCAGCAACACGACCAAGATCTGGGTAGTTGATTCTGATTGGTCACAACTGAATTTAATCGATTCTGATTGGCTTGATATAAATATATAATGACTGTTGAACTTTGATTTTCAAAATCAAAATAATATTTAATTTCTTGACACTTTATGTTCATTGTAAATTTTACTTCTCTCTATGATTTAAACGACTAAATTTTTTGTGTGGAAATGTTTCTAATGTATTGCAAATTAATACGATATCTAATTAGTCTTTCTCGCGGCCAATTTTTCCACCATTTTGGGGTACTGCCTCTCCCAAGTTGGAGAGTCTCTGCACCACAAAATACAACTTTTTAGTATTATAGTTCGAACCGACCTGACCGCGTAGCTCAGTTGGCAGAGCATTGGGCTAGTGTTCCAAAGGTCATAGGTTTGATTCCCACCATGGCACTGGAGGCATATTTTTCAAGCTTGCCCGGTGTAAGTATTATAGTTGTTTGTATAATGGTAAATTTACAGTTCTGTTACAACTTTTAAAAGTCGCTTTTCACATTGTTTGAATTGTCTAGAATCTTTCACAAGGGAGGATAGTAGTACATACAGTTCCCCAAAATTGGTGGATTTTGGCGTTCGTGAGAAAGGCTAATTGAACAAATGAAATGCAACAAGTTGAAAATAACGGCAATTCGTGATTTCTTTACGTTATTAAAATTCAGAACTTTGTTGACCTTTGAACTCAGCCAAACAGAATCTACTGAGTTTAAAGTGCATATGACATGGAATTTCTTATTTTTATGAATGAAATAACTCTTTAAGCTGTATTGTAACTTATTATTCAGTTTCTTGTTTTTATGGTTTGTTCCCAAGATATTTCAATTTGTTTGATATGTAAATGAGTGTGAATATGTCCGCTAATTTATGATGTCACATATTTGGTTGTAAGCTCTTCAAAATAGTTGAATGTAATTTCATGATAATTTCAAACTTCACTCACTGTAAATGTGATGAAACACTGGAGAAAAATGTCAAATGATATCTACAGTTCTTAGAGTTAATAGATTTATAACCAGTCTAAGTTGAGCTTGCAACCAAAATGTGACATAAATTAGCGGACATATTCACTGCACTTATTTACATTATCAAACAAATTGAAATATCTCGAAAACAAACCATAAAAACAAGAAACTGAAAAATAAGTTACACAACAGCTTAAAGAGTTAAATTAAACTTTTATTCAAGAAAATAAGAAATTTCATGTCATATGCACTTTAATTATGACCGATCACAATCAACTACCTAGATCTGGTTATCACATCTGGTGAGTCGACAAGCAATGTCACAAATTTTCAGACTGCATTGGGTCGTTCCAGAAAAGATCCACACTCCCCCCCAAGGAGGAAATTTCTGCCGTCCGGAGGGGGAGGGGAGACAAAATTGTTTCTGATAATAGTAAATGTATTAGGACATTAACTTAACTTCCAATTTCCTCTGTGGGGGTGGTATGGATGTTTTCTGGAATGACCCATTACAGCATAATACAATCAGCACACATGCTATAGAGTCATCAGAGCATGTGTAGAATTGTCAGAGCTCGCATTCATCTGATTGAGATATATCAATAATTCCCACTCCAGGGATAATCCTTTGTGTCAAAACAATATAAAAATCCTCTGTGTAATGCCCACACACACACCGCCTGCTGGGGAAAGAGGTACATATTTATATGTCCAGAAATATCCTGTGAGGCAAAGAATTTGTCAAGGAAACATGTCTTGGAAACATGTCTGTACAGAGGCTAAAACACCTGCAATTTATTATATGCCCTTGTCAATGCATATTTAAAACAATTCACAAAACACAAATAAACAGTGTACACAGCGACTGCTGAATACAAATATAAACGTTTAACTACAAAACGTCACATCTTAAAGGCAAAGTGACGCCCCACGATAGAGCTTTTGCGCCCACAAAACTGATTTTGCCTACGCTATAAAATACAAAAGCCATACTTTATGCGGTTAAAACTAACATTACACAAAAAAAAACAAGCGAGATGTAAATATATGAGGCTTATTTGATTGTGTTTAAAAATGGCCAATCGCCATAATTTGCCGTTCCGACATGCAAAATTTGATAAAAATTTCAATATTTTAATCGTTTCTTTAAAAAGCTGATAAAATAGTCTTATTACTTCTAGTTTAAATAGGTTTTATATTAAAAATATAACAAGGAACTTTAGAGAGATATAATTTACCTGGTTCCCCCGGCTCGGTCATGCTCCCAATTATACAGCGATTTTCAAACGCAAAGAAAGCTGTTTGGACGACGTAAATCACATCATAAATACTCCTTGATATGTACTTTTAGATTATCAACCCTTCAAAGAGTTACAGTTTTTGTAAAACAAAAAAATCCGCAAGAAATTGGACCAATTTCGACCATTAATGAAAGTTAAACCTTTCTCAAGTGATTATCACGAACTTCGTCACGTACTCGGCCTATTATTTCGTCTACGATATACTCACGATTGTGTTACGAAGAAATGACGAACACACCCTCCCAAAATTTCCAGTTTTGAGCGATGGGAATTATAAATTTAATTGCATTGGAAAATACGTAAAAAATACTATATTCTATAATAATAAAATTCTCCGAAATTTATCAAAGTTAGTATATTATGTGAGGTTTCTAGAGAAAGGAGAAATAATTCTACATCATCTACGTTATTTAATGTTGGATTTCACACGCGTAGTTAAATTTTCCAGAAATTTCAGATATTTTTGTGTGGCTGTATTGAAGTCAAATTTTCACCAAGGGCCTTGGAATATTTTGTATTTTGGTACAGATCAATTTGCAGTTAGATCATTGGATAGTCTTAACAGGTGTTTAATTGGATATATTTATATTTAGAGGATTATCAGGGAGGGGGTTAATGTGCTAAATTTGGAATACATTTGTTATTAATAGTTTACTTTTTATGGGTAATTAGAAACTATTAAGAGTCTGTAAAAGAGAGATACCTAATTTATAATGGGCCATTCCATTTAAATAGGCACCCCACCCTCCTATTGAGGGGTCCCTTCATAATGCCCTTAGGATATAAAAAAATTGGAACCCCCTTGGCCTTGGATGCAAATTTTGTGGAAGGTATCCCACAGACATCTTGCTAACCCCTTTAGGATATTGCTTTTTTCCCTCTTGGATATCTCTAAAACACTTAATTTTTGCCATTTTTTAAAAAATCTCTCAAACTACCCTCTAGGAAAATTTAAGATGAAGGCCCTGGCCCTCCTCCCCCATTGGATATCCAAGGGGGAGGGGGGGGGGGGTGGTAGTTGTAGTGGTGCACATATTAAATGGAATTGGCCCAGTCAGAGTAGCATCCCTCTAATTCAAATTCTTGCTAGCTACAATCTTGGCCAAAAACCGTAGAATGACGGACGTTTCTCTCCTTATGTTATGATATCATCTCCTCCAGGATGAAAAATGAAATGTTTTTTTTTCCACACAATAGTGTGCATCCATTGGTTTGGGAATCTGTTAAATCTGGTCCAGGCGTCCTGGGACGCCCCTATAACGAAAAATGGACACCCAAATTCTGGGGGAAAAGGGAAATTATTTTCAATTATTTCCCTAAATATATTATATATATCTGAAACGAAATAGCTTCAGTTCTCATTATTATTATACATTTGACATTTTGATCCATTTAATGGTGTACCTGGCTGAATGAAAATGTCATGATAGTATAGGTAAAAAAGCATAGTGGCACAAACTCACAAAGCAAAGTGTGTTTGAAAAATGTTGAACGAGATTGGAACAGATACTGACATGAATTAGTAACGTAAACTTCAAAGGTTTTCAAGAGGAACGTTTTCTCTAACCCCACCCCTTTACTGCAGATGTTTCGTTATACCAAATTTGGACGCCCTCTTTTAGGACCCTAGCTGGCTAAAAGCCTGATTTGCAGTTAATGATTATAAATAGAATAACCTAATGCCAACATTTAAGAGTAAAATTGTCTGACATACAGTTGTATTGTATCTACCTAATGTTCTATCAACCATTGGAGGCATGTTTCACACTTTATACTGACTAAATTAATAAGTTATGAATTAATTGTGTTCATGCACAATATATATTTGTATATTTGTATATAATACGGTTCAAATAGTGACAATATTGTAAATAATTGTAGTTTTGATGCAGGACTCCACTAAAAGCATCTATGTGATGTGGGTATCCTGGATAAATATAATAATTACTATCATTACCTAGCTACAATTAAGGCACCAAATTTGCTTCAAGCGTTTCTTATCACTTCAGTGAATACAATCAACTACCAAAAGTTCACCTTTGTTGCTTGTTGTGTTCTTATTTCTAGTCTCAAAGTAAATAGCAGTTTAATCAACAATATTGAAGTCATCTGTCCTGCTGAAAAGAGAAGAGCAAAGGTCAAATCTTCAGTTGTCTTCTTCGTTGGGTTGTTCCAGAAAAAGCCACACTTTTCCTGCGAAGGAAATCTCTTCCATCTGAATGGGTGGGAATGGAGTCTATTTCTGATTATAGACAGCTAGCAGAAGATAGGTTTGATAGAGTGGGGGAGCCGAGTCCGAGGGCAGCTACCCCTGAAAATTTTGAATGAAATTTACAATCTATGAAGTGGCATTCTAAGGAGGAATTTATATTCGTTTTGCATTTTTATAGGCTGCAACCCTTTGACACCGTTTTGTAGTGGGTTCACCCCTTTCACTTCTTTCAACTGGTTTGCCTTCTAGCCCCTCTCCCTGAAATAATGGTTGAACATTTCCATGGAATTGGTCAGAGTCATTTTGTCCGGATAAAGTGACACTTCTTGAAAGACTGATTCAACCATATACGCAAAGAATACGAAATTGTTTAAGCCATTGAATTAACCCATTGAGTGGCAACACTCTCCCCCCTGACAAGCAAAATCGTCTGGCATTAGACAGAGTAAAATAACAAAATGGGGCACATCTGGGCGCATTGCTACTTAAGGGTTAACAGGGTACATGACCAGATAGTCTGATTAACCCATTGAGTGGCAACACTCTCCCCCTGACGAGCAAAATCGTCTGGCGTTAGAGTAAAATAACAAAGTAGGGCGCATCTGGGCGCATTGCCACTTAAAGGGTTAATGTAAAAGCATTTTAACTGTGTAGTGTTTAGCATGAAGTATTAAGGCCCGGTCACACTACACAACGATAACGATACGATAAATTGTAAACACGTGATAATTGGCAAAAAAATTATGTTAGTGTCAACACTACAACGAAAATGATAAAATTATCGTTTGACGATAACGATAACGATTTTAAAATCGCTCACCTGAGCGATTTTTTTTTCAGTCGAACGATAACGATAAATTTTTGACCAATCAGCGCGCGTATACAAGTTATCGTATCGTTATCGTTGTGTAGTGTGACCTGAGCTTTAATTGTATATTGGCTTCTTTTGCGTACCCAACGAAGGCATAGATCGAGTCACAGCGAAATAGAAAAAATGTTGGACCAAATTTGAAAGTTTCCGATCAAATTTCATTTTGGACGGGCATTTTTCCGGACAATTTTTGAACATTATTTTGGGCTCTGCTCATTTTGTTCCAGGAATATTTTCTTTGATTGTATTATAAATTTATTACTTAAATTTCAGGATATTAAACAAAACAAAAATATTTCAACTGTCAGACAGTTTGCAGAAATAAATGGATTACCAATTCACAACTGGCCTGTGGACAAGAAAAAGTAATTAATTTTTATCAACAACTTATCAGTAACTTTACTGTACATTCCGTGCACGCAGTATCTTCGAACTTTTACTAACTGTAATTATGGTATGTATAAACATTATCTTTGATTTTAGTGTAGATTTTCTCTCGAGGTTTCATCTGGGCATTGTGGTTTCATTTGGTCATTTTATACCATCATGGATAATACGCAATTTGCTCTGGTAATTGGAGAACAATTTCGTTTTAACTTATCTAATTGGTATTTTAGAGTTGGGATTGTTTACAGCCCACAAAAAATTTTGTCGTAGCATTTTCCACCATCTAACGTCTGAAACAACAAATAATTGATCGATTCAAAACTATAGCCGCTACAATCTTACATTGTTTTATATCTTATGCATTACCAGGCCAGTAGGCAGTATAGATAATTTTTTAACTGACTGCTAACTTAAGGCAAATTTCTCAAAGACAATACTTTAATTAACTCTTTAAGCCATAATAATTATTATATTATTTTATATAATAATTATTATTATATGGCTTTTCAAAATTCTCTATTCCGATTGGTTGACAAGCGGTCCGTAAAAACCCATATCCGGACCGTGGTCCGTATTTTCCGCATCTGGATCGGTGTCCCGGATGTCGTTTATCTGGCGGGAAATTTTTGCTTTGCAAACAGAAAAATTTTTTGCTTTTTAATTTTCCAATTGTGTGTCATTAAAACTTACAGATAAAATATCAAACTTGGCAACCACATTGTTTTTGATTGAGCATGCATGCCTACCGTATATTGTTACCCAGTGAAATTGACGATAGCCGATTTAATTCGCGCGAAAAGCTCACAGACTCAGTTCAGCCATATAATAAACCGATTATTAACCTCCCTTGTTCAGTCTGTACTGTGAAATATCAGACCTCTGTTTTTTGCATGGACCTCGCTCCTTCGTCGCTCGATCCATACTAAAAAAACCTCGGTCTGATATTTCACAGTACAGTACAGACCTCACGCTCGGTCAATAAGCCGTTATTATATTAATTTCAGCTATAGGCTTAGGAGGAAAAAGAATGACAACCATTTTTCGAATCGGTCTATAGAATTAATGTGTAATCTTATTTTTTGAATCACTTTCGAAGTGGTATAATTCTATATATAGTCGGGAATTAATTACCTTATGTCTTAATGAAGCAAGTAATTGTAATTTAATAATTGTCCTTTTTGAGTAGTAATTTTGCAGCTCTGAAAATATGCAGAGAAGCACAGTCCTGGCTCCCATTTACAGACAGACAGTCAGTTCTGGTACATTGCACATACCATATCATATGTTACTTTAAAAAAAACACACATTTACGGTATATAATGGTAAATCATTACTTTTTCAGTGGAGCAATAAATGTTCATCCTTCATTACTTCCGAAATGGCGAGGCCCGTCACCAATAGTCAACACTCTTCTTAATGGGGATACTGAGACTGGTGTATCTATTATTGAAGTGTCCCTCAAAAAGTAAGAAATTTAACCCTTGCATGAGTGTTAGTGCTGTTTTTGAATAGCTAGAGGGTGAGTACTCATATAGTAAGGTACGACACTAACTCTCCAGCTATTCAAAAACTGCATTGACACTCAAGGGAAGCTCAGATTGAACCTCCACCATTTGAGTGTTAGTGAGCTTTTAGAATATACAGGCGAAAGTCTTTTTGATAACTGTATTTTAACTGCAAACGTTCTACGTTACTCTTGGTGATTCTTCAGTGGAACAAGAATGTATCTAATAGATTGACCTGTCCATTTAATTGATAATTTTATCAAAGACAAAGTACTCTTTTCCTCTTTATTCCTTAGGTTTGACGCAGGAAATATTTTGTTGCAAAAGAAAATTCAAGTGAGAGACGAAACATATGAGGGGGTGAGGCAATATCAGTTTTATCGCTTGAGGGACGACATCATTAAGATGTTATGAGCGCGCGCGCAGCGAACTAGGGACATTTATGATATCGTCCTGAATGCGACAACTGATTTTGCCTCGTCCCGATTATCCAGGTGTAGAAAAAGACGTTTTACTTTCTGGGATCGCGAGAGGTTCATTGAAAACTTTAATGCATGCAAATAATCAAGTAAATCGACACTCAGACACTGTGTGTTTCTTTCTTGGGGAAATATTTTTTGGTCCGATACTTTTTTCACCCCTGCGATTATGATCACCTGTTTATTGTATATATATATACTGTACTTGTGACTTTGTCACAAGAATTTATTAGAATATTAATCATTAGCATAATGAAAAAAATATTAACATAGCGGAACAAAAAGCGATATCAGCGACAAAATACGACATCAGCGAGACAGCTACATATCGCGGAAGTCTTTTTAATTCTTTTAGGAAGTTCAGACCGAAACCACGGCAGCTCATTGTGAATACTACCTACTGTACTTACTGTGCATTGGAAGCCCATGCACGATAACTGGTATCAAAAATGCGTCTTTGCTTAAAACCTGACTGAACCTTTATACAAACATTTAGATCCCTCCGAATACGACATACGAGGGACTGTCAGAGGAATTGTCTATATTATCTTCGAATATGGTGAGATACAAGAATTAGTAACATAATGATTCATTTTGCAAGAATATTTTACGCCAAATTTGTTTCATTTGTTTTTAAACGCAATAATTCTATAATTTATAACTTTATATAGCTTCTCGATGTCTTAACAAATTTCACGGAATTAAAAACGTTGGCCATCGCCCAAGATGAAAAAATGGTCACAGAAGGTGGGAACTGTAACACCGCGGAAAAACGTCTGCGCATGCACCAAATTATGAAAATATGGCGGGGAATTTGAATATCAATTTCTAAAACAAAAACGTGCTTATTAATTGGTCAAAAATTAGTAAAACAAACGAGAAAATATAGCAAATCAGTAGACTAGACATTAATTGAAAGCGTCCTGGCATTTAAAGTATGGAATGAAATATAATTCATGTAAAAAATTGTTGATTTTAACGGACACGACTTCGAAAATTTTTGCAAAATTATTCAAAACAAAAATTCAAACTAAAAAGTTAAGAAAACTCTGGAAAAGTTAAGCTTCTTAACCCACTCAAATTGTAGAATAAATCCTAAAGTTTAATTATTGTGAACACGAAAATTTTTTATATTTGGCGACACACTTTTTTTTAAAGAAATGTATCTCAAACGAAAATTCGGAAATTGTCGTTGCTTAGTTGATAAACAAAATGTTTCAGACGATAAATTTGTCAACAATCACCTTTAGTTCGTGTTCTTGTGCAATACAATTTCTTGAAACTTCTGGCTGTATTTATTCCTAGTTTTTAGAATGACATGTTTATTTTTGCGCTCGAAATCTGGCTGTAAAGACGCACAATGAAGTCACTCCTTTTTACCGCCATTTTAAGCCTTCGGAAACGTTCGGAACAGCTTCTCATCAAGTTTGCAATACTATTACAGGTAAGGTTGATGCATGCGCAGACGTTTTTCCGCGTTGTTGGGAACTGTATATTTCTTCCGTGGCTTCGGTGGCGCAGACGCGCAGTGGTCAGAGTAAGTGCCTTTCACCTCTGAGATCGTGGGTTTGATTCTCGCTACGGACTCATGTGAAAAGAGTCAGTCAACGCTCTGCCGAAAGTCGTGCGTTTTCTCCGGGTGCTCCGGTTTCCTCCTACAGGCCTTCGACTCTGTGAACCATCATAAACTTATATTCAAGCTTAAACTATTCGGTATAACTGGTAAACTACATGACTGGTTAAAGGACTATCTCTCGAATCTTTTCCAGCAGACCACAGTATTAGGGGCTACCTCAATGCCCTTACCTGTCCTATCTGGAGTACCCCAGGGTTCTATATTGGGTCCCATACTATTTCTGATTTACATCAATGATATTGTTGAAGTGGTCCATCGGGACTCTGGGATGGCGTTGTATGCTGATGATAGTAAATGTTTCAGAGTCATAAAATCGTTAAACGACTCGCTCCTTTTACAATCTGACTTAGACAATCTGTCATCTTGGTCTAAGTCATGGAACATGGACTTTAACGAGACAAAGTGTGCCATAGTGTCATTCACCAGAAAGCACCATCCAATTATTCAATCATATTCACTTAATGGATCCGAGCTACGAAAAGTCAACGAACAGAAGGATCTCGGAATCCTGACAACCAGCTCTATGGAATGGTCAAGTCACGTGGCTGCTGTATGCTCTAAGGCAAACCGTACACTTGGGTACATCCGCCGTTGTTCTGCGGAAATTGGTAGCTTAAACGCGCGTCGCACTCTCTACACCAGTCTGGTAAGATCCCTGTTTTCGTACGGATCCCAATTGTGGGCTCCTCAGAAAATCAAATACATAAACATGATGGAAAGGGTACAAAGGCGTGCAACAAAATTTTTACTGAAACTACCGTTTCGCACAAAGGTTTCATACCAAACACGGCTGTTAAAGCTCGGCCTTTTACCACTTACTTACTGGCTAGAAATTCTTGACTTGGTTTTTTACTTTCGTACATTAAAGGGAGAAATTTTTCCCGACAATAATGGCTTGGTCCAAATTAAACAACAAATTCGTATTTCGCGTCATAATAACCCTCAGTCAGGTGTTCTCGCCGAGATACCTCGTGCTAAAACAGTATCATTCCAGAACAGTTTTTTTGTCCGCACAAGCAGAATATGGAACAGTCTAACACCAGTTGAAAGGGACTTGTCTCAAAGTGCTGCGACTTTTAAACGTAGCCTCACGAGGAAATATAACGGGCTACTTAGAGATGTCTACGATCCCGACAATGCTGTAACTTTAAAGTCGAACTGCGTGAAATGTCACGTGAACAGAGAACTAGCACACGTTCTCCAAAAACCGTGCTGTTTTTAACTAATGTAACCAGTGATGTAACTTAGAAGTATATCAAGGCTCATCGTAATTGGCTCCCGTGGATATTATCCTACGGAGCTGTGATGATAACCCAGCCATGTATTAGTGTATGTATTGTCAGTATCGTAAATTCGTATTGTTTGTAATGGCAAAGCATTTTAAATAAATAAATAAATAAAAGTCGACAGGGTGGGTGTGGGATAAATACAATTAAGAAAGCAATATCACAATTGTTGTAAAGATAACTCAAAGTCTAGGCTAAGTATGTGATTGTGAAAAAGGTAGACCTTGAGGTTAGCCCTATATTCAGGTCACCGTATTTGAATCTAATGTAGTATAAAAGGTTATAAAATATGTACAGATGTCCTCGATGTTACGAACTTAATACCAATCTTAATGAATGTTTATGTACTTCTTGAGCCTTGCTTTAAATGTTCTTATATCAGGCTCGTTACCGCAATTTACCACAATACTTGGCAAATCATTCCACAGTTTAATTACTCTAAGGAAAAGAGTACTTGTGACAATCGATAACTATACTCTAGTAAACTTAGTTTGCAATTTGTACGGATGGTTAGCCCTAGTTTTCTTACTCTTACAATGTTCAAAATAGTCGCTGAAGTTTAGACCGTTTAAATTAAAGACAGTTTTATAACATTCGATCAGTGAGAAGTATTCTCTTCTTCTTTCCAATGAATTCCAATAACTCAAAGTCTAGGCTAAGTATGTGATTAGGTAAGTGTAATATTTAATGTAAAGCGTATGCAGTTTCCATTTAGTCGTCAGTTGTATCTGGCACGACAAGCGGTAGATGTGAAATAGTCTAATATAATAATAGTATTTTTGTGTGTTATATGCAAATCAGTCTTATGATTGCAGAGTTTTGTTGACACTCTATTACATCCATAGATATCTTATATACACTCTTAGATAAACTAGATATAGTGCCTCTAATTATTCTGCAATTCAAAAATTGAAGCCGTGATTGCAGTCTCAGGTCGTTCCCATGAAATGAAATGAGAAGATTCGTATGTTTTCTATTTGTTAAACAGGGAACTTAAACATTAAGTTAACCCTATTCCAAATACGTTTTTAAACTATTCAAATGATGAAAGTTATTGTTGTTTTTAAGCGTTTATTAGCAAGTGGGAACGACCAACATGGCTGCCATCTATTCAAATGGGGGTAACCGCTGGAATATTCTTGGCTTCAATTTTATTAAAAGAGATGCGCTATCTAGTGTATATAAGATATCTATGGTCGTAATGAATGAGTGTGAGCTAGGTAAGTCAGGGGTATAGGCTGTAGCAGTCAGGTAGAGGTACGTCTTGTGTAGGTATGATTTAGTAAAGGTGGGGAAAGTGTCGCAGCAGTTGGAAGGAACAAATTTACATAAATAGTTCCATAGTTTTCAATCCTAACGAAGTAAGAACTGTGAAGAACTTTACATGATGAAATAAAGCCACTAAAGCTTGGGTTCATATATAATTAATTAGCGTGCGATGAATCTGCTTGTGTACCGAAGTTTGGGATTTCTTTTTTTCTCAGTCAAGTATGTGGAACTCTTGCTATACTTACATTATTTACATATGACCTTTCCAAGGCTAATTAAGGTATTGAGACCTTTCCTGCCAATATTGCAAAGTTAATGCACATTGACAAAACAAACATTGTCAGTCCCACTTCTTAATGCTGTAAACAACGCCGAAACAACTTTTGCTATGTCTTGCCAGCGACAACTAACGACCAAATGGAAACTAGGCTTAAAGCGCATTCGATCCAGCATGAGCTCCACCTTTGAATTTACTATATGAGTAAATTCTTAAAGGGTATGGGCAATGAAAATTGCTTCATCTATCTTATTGCTTCATCTGAAAGAGCATGAAAAAATAAGCCGATTGGCCGTTTACTGCTGTATTCTATCTCATCTCGTTCCGAAGTTATACGCAAAAATGTGCAAAATATAAATTGCTGATTCAGCACAATGTGTGACGTCATAAGCTGGGTAAGTATGTTTATTGAATAGTAAACTAAAGCATAGCTGAGTTATTATTGGCTCAAATCAAATGAAATTTTGCGTACAGATAGTACATGATGAGACGCATGGGAAAATACTTCTAATTTCGTTGTCAAGGCAACACAGTCGTTCCCAGGCCCCTTACACCGATTTTGAATAACTAGTTGCATTTCTCTATGTGTATGTCTTTTTCGAATTATTATCATGCAAGTAAACTTTCGGCATGCATACGTATCGTACACATACTTCTGATATTATTATATTTTTATCAGTACCTTGAATAAAGCTGTATTATAAAATTGGCGCAAGGGGCCTGGGAACGACATTGTTACCTTGGCAACAAAATTAGAAGTGTTTTTCCATGCGTCTCATCATGTACAATCAGTATCCAAAATTTCATTTGATTTGGGCCCATAATAACTGAGCTATGCTTCAGTGTAGTATTCAATAAACATACTTACCCAGCTAATGACGTCACACGTTGTGCTGAATCAGCAATTTATATTTTGCACATTTTTGCGTATAACTTCGGAACTAGATGAGATAGAATAGAGCATTAAACGGCCAATCGGCTTATTTTTTCATGCTCTTTCAGACGAAGCAATAAGATAGATGAAGCAATTTTCATTGCCCATACCGGTACCCTTTAAACACGTCCAAATTTATCATTATGATAAATTCGCGGCAAATTTTGAATTTATCATAATAATAAATTCGCGGCACCTAACACTAACCCCAACCCTGACCACTAACCCCTAACCACTAACCCCTAACCCTCATTTTTTAAACTTTTTAAATTTTTTTAACTTTTTTAAAAATCTAACTTTTTAAACTTTTTTTTGCTTTTCAAAACTCTTTTAAAACTTTTTTAAAAACTATTTTTTTAAAAAAAACATGAAAAACTCCCCACCCCCGCGCGACCAGCCTCCCTTTTGTGGTTTTATGATTAACTCTATTGATAAATTCAAAATGTGCCGCGAATTTATCATAATGATAAATTCGGACGTGTTTAATTAAGAATTTACTCATATAGTAAATTCAAAGGTGGAGCTCATGCTGATTCGATCGTATCCACATGTAAAATTGCGCTATAGAAGTTTTAATGGTATAATCGTAATTTCTCAGATCGCTCGTTATCTATAGGTATATTTTTCTCTAACATGTATGCATAAGTGGTCAAAACTCCATTTGTGATATTTTGAATATTTATAGCTCTCAAAGTATCAAAGGAAATGGGGTACGTTAAATGGAGTGAGTTCACGTGTGAATACATTGAGCGGTTATCGCGTGTTATTGGACACAGGGTTAGTCTGTGATATATTATTTTAGTGATCAAAATTTTCTTTCTGCGGAAAATGTTCTTGAGTGGAAATGGGCCTTAATTAAGTGTGAATACAATTTAATTTGACCATCTAGGGTAGCACCGTATGAAATATTTACTGGAACCCATGCAGCAGTGAGCTCTTTATATAACTGGAGTAATTTTTAAGGTTTTGGGATACCTTCGGTCTCAGTCCTTTGCACATTTCATCAACTTTATAAATCGAAACCGCGTAATTGGCGAGCACTATATGAACCATATTTGGCCTGACTTTTCCCCAGGAAATTGACTGAAGATCTTATTTGAGCTATATACTATGATGGAAGTCAGTTAAGGTGCAACCACTGAAACCATAAGTCAATATCTGCCAACCTTGTCTTTACTTCCTATTCGCATAGTTTTTTGTCAATTACGGCAAGGTTGGATTTGGAAAGGCAATTACAAAACAAAAATATAAGATAAGACAAAATGAGGTAGACATGATTGTGAAGTAGACAAACAAGACTACAGACTAGCTCCTTGCTGCCGTAGCTCTTATCGTGATCAACGCGCTTGATCAACGGTCACACCCTAAACCATGTCCAAAGGTCGATGATCGCAAACCCCTACCAAATCCCCCATGCAGTAAGATTATTAAAATTGGTCTAGTGGAACAAAAGTTTTGACTGTCCAAAATAAGGTGTCATGAAACCTATTGATACTTAACGCAGCTGATGCATGATTTCAATGGTCCATTGGGTGAACCAGACTTTATTTTAAAACAGCCATAACGTTGGTTTTACTAGACCAATATATTTTAATAATTTTAGTGTCAAAATCCCTCTCCTAGATTAAATTTTCGATCGTAAAGAAAACTCCTTGATAATAGATAGAATACGAAAAGGTGTGAGTAATACGATTACATAGATATTTTGTAATGCACTAGACGGGCTTCCATTCATTGAAGCTCATTGATACCAGTGTTTTTACACTGAAGGAATAACTCTGTTTAAATAAGTTTATTTCAATCAATTTTAATTCAGACACTGCACGTCTCCCAAAAAGTTACACTTTCTATTTCTTATCTTTCCAACAGTTTGGCTTGAAATGCAAGTGGAATGACCAAGTTGTTAAGTTGGAAACCTTTGGTGAAGGTAGCACTTTGCCTCCTGGTAAGATATCAGATTGGTCAAATTTCAAACTCTTCGATCATTGTTTTCTGAGTTTAGAAGTTCCTCCCCCAGTTATCCTTTATCCTAAGAAAGCTGATTGATAGGGATACAACTACCTAAAAATACAAAGAGAACTTCGACGTGTCAAGCGAAGGCCCTTCGTCGGGGCTCCGAAGGTCGAAGTTTTCAAGGTGTTAGCCAGAAAAAAAGTTTTGTCCGTTAAACGTAAATTGGGAAAGTTTTTTTGACCGATCAAAGTCCTTTTGGCTTGTGTAGGAATAAATAGTGTTTTTTCCAACGTGTTTCTCCTTAGATGCAAACAACGGTAGCTAATTTGCACATCTCATTTCCGATCCGGTGAATGAACATACACCCGATGGCACTTCGTGTGTATACTTTACACACCCAATATGTATGAAACGCGATGCATTTTGAGAAAATAGTTAATGGGAAAAAGTAAATAAAACGTTCTTTGATATAATAATATAAAATCAAACGCATTGCACTTTCTCATTAGAAAAAATGAAAATCTTCCAGTAAACCCAGTTCGGAAAGCCCCTTATATAGCTACTTCAATTGGGAAGAGTCCGTCAAACGGACAGTATATGGGCTAGCTAACACCCTGGTTCTCCTTGTATTTTTCAGGTAGTTGCATCCCTATCAATCAACTTTCTTATTATTGCTACTGCCTACACTGGCACAAACGAGATCTTTTATCCTAGCTTATCCTAGCTTATATATACGGATTGTCCACACAAGGCAAGCCGAAAAGTTTGCTTGACCGCAGTGGGAATCGAACTCCGCGACCTTTGGTTTGCTAGTCCAATGCTCTCTACCAGCTACGAGGTCAAGTCGGTTCGTGTGGTGATATTTCGAAACTCATTCTGGTTCCTTCGATATCTGTTTGTTTTTACGATCTTGAAACAAGACCAGAAACCAAAAATTCCATGCAGAGGCCAGAAACCAAAAATTCAAGATCGTAAAAGCACACTGATATCGAAGGTGTGGCAGTAGTGTGCAACAATTTTAATTATAATTTAAGAAGTAATGGCAAATTTCTAAGACTGTCAAAACCAAATACGAACTCTATGAAGAGAAGTTTTAGTTATATGGGGGCTAAGACCTAGAATCAGCATCTAAACGATAAATTGTAAATATTAGGCATATAATTCTATTATCTTACTTGTAAATATTACAAGGCCCTATGAAAATCAATATCAATTGATAGGTTACCGTGTATAAATATAATACAATACAATACAATACAATACAATACAATACAATACAACACAATGGACTAGATAGAGTTCCGAAATATCGATCACCCATTCGAACCGACTTGACCTCGTAGCTCAGTTGGCAGAGTATTGGACTAGCAAACCAATGGTCGCGAGTTCAATTCCCATTGCGTTCAAGCAAACTTTTCGGCTTGCCCGGTGTGGACACACCATGCAGAGACAACATCACAAACATATATCTTCACCTGAGTCGATAACACCAGAAATAAGAAACTACATTTCTGCCAATTATAATATTCTGGCATGTGTCTAATTAGGCAAGAACGCGAGAAGCGAAGGGTAAATATATCATAGGCTATATCGAGTCAGTTTACATGGCCTAAATTATCTCGGGCCCAGTTAGAAGATACCGGATTTGCTTGTCACAACATCGATTGTAACCGTTTCAGGAACCACTTGACACTTGAAATTGCAATTAAAAAAATATTATCATTGACAAAATATGGCAAAAATTGCGGAAGGGGAAAATTTAAGAGAGGACATTTATGAGGGGGTTTTAGTATATACCGGGTGGCCCAAAAAAAAGTACTCCTGTTTGATTCGTAATAACTTCTAAACAAGTAAAGTTTTTAAAGAGAAATAACTTGCATTAAATAGAGGAAGGACTAACTTAGATTTTGATATGTTACAGTTGTATTTAACTTAAAAATTCACGGATATATTAATGTTAAAAATGGGGAGCATATTTTGGAATGTGTCTAAAATTAGCGAAAATCGGCATATCAAATATTAACTCCAGCGTTTGTTTGCTTAATGACATATTAGGCTAACTTGTATTTCAGCGAATTATCGTTAAAGTTTGTAAGGGATATGGCGTAGATTTAGACATCTTACATGTAAGTCTTAGCTCATTGTTTCCTGAAATATGAACGTTCGAAATTATGCAAGTATTTAATATTAGGTCTTTGAAAACTTAAATGTACATGAAAGACTGACCATGGAAGGCAGGCGCTTAAATTTTTCGTATTCTTAAATAGCCTAATTTTTTTATGTTTTTAATGGGTTCAAACAGACTGAGTAGATTATTTCTCAGTTAGAGCAGGATGAATATTCTTTATTGAAGGAAATAATATTGCTTTTTGCAAATACACATCACCGTATCAACGCTACTATTTTGTTACGTTTTGTTCCAAAAATGTTGCATGTCTCTGGGGAGTTGCTTAATTGTTATGTCTTATGGGGTTGTATGGTTTGATTGTGTTTCATATAATTCTCAGTTTACTCCATGAACTTGCCAAGATTAAGAAACGGCAAAAGAGTTTGGGTGTTCTTAACAAGATTCCAGAACGTTGCAGAAGTTAGAAGAGCTTCACAATTCCGTTGTGACAGCATGCCCTAATTCAGAACTACGAACGATCCAATGACGATCCTTCGCGATGCATTGGTCTCATGAAATAAGGAAACGTATTCGTGCTAGGAACACACGCGAATTTCGGACGAATGAATCTTGCTTGTATTTTGTAGATATAATAATACTTTGTTTCATAATAAACAATTTGTCAAGTGTCATTTATTTACTAGTAATAGTGCATGTTTCAGTCGGGCAAATCTTGATTAATATTTGATACGCCGATTTTTGCATATTTCAGACACATCCAGAAATATCCTCCCGAATTTAAAGATTAATATCTCCATGAATTTTTAAGTGAAATACAACTGTAATATATCAAAGTCTAAGTTAGTCCTTCCTCTATTTGATGCAAGTTATTTCTCTTTAAAAGCTATACTTGTTTAGATGTTATTACGAATCAAACAGGAGTACTTTTTTTTGGGCCACCCGGTATAACAATATTAAAGTGCTTATATGATTGCAGAAATTACTTAAAATGACCATATACTGTAGTATATGGTCATTGGTAAAATACTTGTAGCTCTCTTCCTTTCCGAGATATTCAATATCAAGTTAATTAATTATAACGGATTTCTACTGTATGATCTTTGCAATACAATCAAGAAAAGATTGCGTGAAATTTCGTGTCATTAGCACTTTAAACTTGACCAAACATATGCTCTGCAATTTAGTTCATTCTTTCAAATTCTCCGTCACTTCACAAAACAAATGTGTTTTGTTTGTTTGTTTGTTTGTTTGTTTGTTTGTTTGTTTGTTTGTTTGTTTGTTTGTTTGTTTGTTTGTTTGTTTGTTTGTTTGTTTGTTTGTTTGTTTTGTTTGTTTGTTTGTTTGTTTGTTTGTTTGTTTGTTTGTTTGTTTGTTTGTTTGTTTGTTTGTTTGTTTTGTTTGTTTGTTTGTTTGTTTGTTTGTTTGTTTGTTTGTTTGTTTGTTTGTTTGTTTGTTTGTTTGTTTGTTTGTTTGTTTGTTTGTTTGTTTTTTCTTCATGTCCATTTCACTTATTTATTTTGACTTTCTTTCTCCCTCCATCAAGAAATTTTCTGGCAACTTCAAAACTTTCTTGAACCAAATAGTCCCGTGGTCCAATACTTTTTCACCCCTGAAATAAATTGTCAAGTTTCATGTTTTATTTACACTCTGTTTAGGTGCTTCAGATAGCGCTGAATACGGACAGCCGTTTTACAATTCCTGTAAAAATGTTCTTTACATAAAATGCAAGGTAAGCATTATTTTAATATCTGCATGACGATTGAATATATTATATATACCATGTCTTTCTACTGGATTATAATCAGTATTTTCAGTTTATTGAAGTTTATCTTTGAAAATTTAAACCTCGTATTCAGAGGAAATTATTGATATAGGCATAGCTATAACCCCCCCCCCCCCAAACAAAATGTCCTGCACAAAATGTTCACCCCAATATTCGGCATAATAAAAAATAATTAAATAGTCCACTCCAATGTGCAGAGTGTTGATGATACAAAATAAATGTAAAGGATGTTGTTTAAAATCTTTTGCGTGGGTTGGAATTAATTAGTCAACCAATTTGCATGCCACCACGGCTTTATATATAGCAGAACTTTTAATTTTAGTTTGCTTTTTATCTCGTGTTAAGCGTGGACATATACCGTATGTATATAGTATTAGATATTGGCTAATCGTTAAAAGGATCTCCGGGGACAGAGGTATACAGTACGTTGTTATTTTATTTAGTAAATGTTCAGTATGTGGTGGTTTTGTAGCTTTGTGTATATAGATAATGTAGTTTATTCTTTGTATAGTTTTTACGTACTGTCGAAGGGCAACGAAATATAAGATAAAAGATTGGTTAAAATCAAAGCGTACGTTGTCTGCCAACGGTTCAGTAAACCACAGCCGCATCTCAAGTTCGATCCTTTATAGTAAAAACTCTCCCGAACGAACGATGCTATAAGAATATTTATCTGGTCTGATGAACAATGCCGTAAAGTTGTTTATCTGCATGGTCTAATGAACAATACTGTTAGAGTTGGTATTAATATGTCTGACCTTCAAGAGAATACAGATTCACCGCTTCTCGCGGCTAAAAGCCCTCGCGATGAAAGGAAAGAAGACATCGTTAGCCATCAAAGCGAACCTGGTCCTAGAATGAGTCAACGTTCAAGGGTACCGACTATTAAGGGAAAAGAATACCAAGATTATCAGTTACAACGGGACTATATGACTGCAGTAAGAGCATGGCGAAAACAAGCAAATAAAGCCGAGGCGGTGTTACTAGACTCTAACGATGTAGACCTTCTACAGCAAGAGCGAACGAAGCTTGATTCCCGTATGGACGATCTTTCAGATGCTCATATTAAATAAAAAAAATAAATAATAATAATTTATTAATTTATAAAGCGCTAAATACTATAAATATTCTAAAGCGCTATCATTACAAATTCAAATAAAATGTTATAAAGTATGAGATGATACCTATATATACATGTTTAGAATTTACTATTATATTTAAAGATAAAATGCCTTTTTTAAAAAAGAAAGGTTTTAAGTCTGTTTTAAAAAGTTTCCACTGTTGACGCCTCACGAATGTCAGCGGGAAGTTCAAATTTACTATTATATTTAAAGATAAAATGCCTTTTTAAAAAGAAAGGTCTTAAGTCTGCTTTTAAAAGTTTCCACTGTTGACGCCTCACGAAATTCAGCGGGAAGTTCAAATTTACTATTATATTTAAAGATAAAATGCCTTTTTAAAAAGAAAGGTCTTAAGTCTGCTTTTAAAAGTTTCCACTGTTGACGCTTCACGAATGTCAGCGGGAAGTTCATTCCACAAAAATGGACCAGCCTTGGCAAAAGCTCTGTCGCCAAACGTTTTCCTCATTGTCTTAGGAACTATTAGCAAATTTTGCTCATTCGAGCGCAGGCTGTAGCAACCAATATGCTTAGGTGTCAGAAGGTCTGAGATATAAGGCGGTACATTAGCGTGAAGAGCCTTGTACACCAGCAACAAAATCTTGAAAATCACCCGATACCGTACAGGAAGCCAATGAAGGCCAATCAAAACAGGAGTAATATGATCGAATTTGGGGATTAGACAGACCACACGTGCTGCAGCATTGAGAACTCTTTGTAACCTATCATATTGAGACTGTGGGAGACCATAAAACAATGAGTTACAGTAGTCCAGGTGTGAAGTAACAAAAGCATGAACCAAAATCTTTGTTGTATCTTCTGAAAGGAATTTCCTTATCTGCCGGATATTATAGAGGCTGCGAAACGCCTTACTACACACTTTTCCAATGTGAATATCCATCGACATATGTGAGTCAAACCACATTCCGAGGCTTTGAACCACCTCCACAGGCTCGATCGTAGATTCACCAACTGTAATTTCATTGATGTTAATCTTTGACATTTGCTGCTTTGAACCGATTATAATAGATTCAGTCTTGGAATCATTTATCAAGAGACGGTTAGAAAGCATCCAGGCACGAATGTCAGCAACACAGTTTTCAATACTCTTTAGTGCAGCATCTTGCGATAAAGATGTATCCGGCCGAAACGAATGATAAATCTGGGTGTCATCTGCATACGTATGTGCATTGGGAAGATGTTTGTCAATAACCTTAAATAACCCAGCCACATAGAGTATGAAGAGGACAGGGCCAAGGCAGCTACCCTGCGGAACTCCCGATTGAAGATTGAAAACTTCCGATTCATGGTCTTTAATTAAAATTGTTTGTTTTCTCTCGGATAAATAAGATGTTAGCCATTTGAGGGCATTTCCAGTTACGCCAAAGTCTTTTTCAAGTGTCTCCAGTAAGATTGCATGGTCGATAGTATCAAATGCGGCACTTAGGTCGATAAGCACAAGAAGCGTAACCTCCTGCCGATCCATACTGAGGAGAATGTCGTTCTGGACTTTTAGTAAAGCTGTTTCTGTTGAGTGATTTTTCCGATACGCTGATTGATACTCGGGAAAAGGGGCATTTTCAGCACAATGTATAGATAACTGAGAGATCGTTGCCTTCTCAGCAGACTTGGCAACAAATGGCAGGTTGCTTATAGGTCTGAAGTTTTCAAACATAAAATCAAGCCCAAATTTCTTCAAAAGAGGTAGAACTAGCGCTATTTTCCAATGATCGGGTACAATTCCTTCAGAGAAAGAGAGATTAATGATTTCAGCGATGATTGGGGCCAATTCATGACAACAGAGTTTAACCAATGATGTAGGAATAGGGTCCAACTTACTGGAAGCATTCGAAGATTCAAGGATAATCCTCCGAACTTCATCCTCAGAAACCGAAGAAAATTCATCCAATTTCACTTCAGGCAGATGAAATGGAACATTAGGTGGGTTAATGGAAATCTTGTCAATCTTTGATTTCACGAGTTCAATTTTCTTACAAAAGAACTCACCAAACTCGTTAGCAAGGATGGAAGGATCGCGATTTTCAGGAAACTCCTCAACTAGACGTTCTTTGCTCAAAGAGTTCACAATTTGGAATAATTTTCTAGAATCACCAGCAGATTTGTCAATAAGGTTGGAATAAAACATTTTTCTGGTGTCATTCAATATAGCACTGTAGTCATCGCGTACCTTACGATAAGCATTCTTATCACATTCAAGTTTCGATTTAAGCATGATTCTTTCCAGTTTCCTACGTTTAGCTTTCAGCTTCTTTAAACTATCATTAAACCAAGGAACCATTGGTCGAACAGTCATAACTTTCGATTTCAAAGGAGCATGCTTATCGAGAATAGAACGTAGGGTAATATCATAGCATTTTGACATATCATTAACACTTGACCAAGTTTTCTGAAATAGATCTGAGGCGCATATATCAGCTTTAAAGGCATTGAGGTCAATATGTTTAACTTTGCGATAGCAAACTTCTTTAACTAGGATGTTTGGGCGAGGAATATCCAACAAACATTCAACAAAAAAATGATCAGACAAAGCAAACGTCGCCAAAGGAGAGGTGATTGTGACATCATTGATTGATCTAGTGATAATCAAATCAAGGGTATGACCTGATGAATGAGTTGGGACATGAACATGTTGGATAAGTCCAAAAGTATTCATTAAGTCCGCAAACTTTTTCGCGTCTGCTTCGGTTGGACAATCAACGTGAAAATTAAAATCACCTGTAATCAAGAGTACTTCGGGAATCATAACGATGTTCTCCAAGTATGATGAAAACTCTTCGAAAAACACATTTGATAAAACCGGGTGATCTTCCGAGTAAGGAGGTCGATAGATTGTCACCACTTTAATGGTTTGCTTGTGCACACAAACATTCCACTCCGAGAATTCAAACGAATTAAATTCCCCACAGTCACTGGATTTTGCATTTAACGATTCTTTGCACAGAATACCCGTGCCGCCACCACTTCTACCAGACTGTCTTGGGAAAGATCTAAACACAAATCCTGCAGTAGATAGTCCAGCAGTGCTGACAGAGTCACATTCCTTCAACCACGTTTCAGTGATAGTACATATATCAATACCGCTATCAACCATATGATCAATGATAACGGCGATCTTGTTCCTTACAGAGCGCGAAATACGTGTCTGAAGTTACCCCAAGCGAACAGTTTAATTTCGATAGTTTGTGTGATACGCATCGACGAATTCTTAGTGATTTGAATAAAAAGATTACCAATTTGAAAGACGATCGGAGTTCCGTTAGTTCAAAGCGGTCACGACGAAGCGGGAAATCTCGAAGGTCGTTTTGAACTACATCTTCAGCTGCCCTACTCAAGACGGAGATGACGGTGAAAGCAGCAAGATTGGAAACGGAACTTAAGTTTCATCAAATTGAAAGAGAAAGATCAGCTGATTTGAAAAGACGTGAAGATGAATTGAAAAAACTTCAGATGATGAAAGAGCTTGCTGCTACGCAAGCCGAGATTGAGGCAGTGGATCAAGTGGAGAATTGTTCGAACTCTGGTTTAAATATGGACAACGTGTCGAAGCTCGTAGCGGAGGGAGATTTTCAAGAGCGAGTAGAGCAGTACGTTCAATCCCAACAAGCCCACAACCCGCATAAAGGTCTACTTTCTGTTGATGAGGAAATATCTCAGTCTGTTATTGATCCGAACATTGCAAGTCAGCAAAATTCTGCAGAACAATTGGTCCGGGATCAAAATTTCCATCCTTCTGCGATGTCCAAGGAGGGTATTTCCAAGAATGTCTTTCCCAGGGGCGGTGTTACCCCTAGTGCGGTCAAAGTCTCCACGCACGAAGATCCTATTACAAGGTTGGCGGATCTGCTAACAGAACGACAGGATCATGATAAACTTCCACGACCTCAACCGGAAGTTTTCAGTGGCGATTTTCTCCAGTACCCAATATGGGTTAAAGCGTTTGAGACATTTATCGAAAGAAAAACAAAGTTGTCTTCCGAACGGCTGTATTATTTGAGCAAATTTACATCGGGCGAAGCCAAAGAGGCGATTAGTGGTCTCCTGTCACTGGATTCCGAAGAGGCCTACGTAAAGGCTAAGAAGATTTTGACGGACAGGTTTGGTAATGCGTTTCTCGTATCAAACGCCTATAGAAAGAAGATCGAGAATTGGCCGAAGATCCCCCCGAACGACGGTCCAGGTCTGAGGCGATTCTCAGATTTCCTTTAACACTGCAGGACCGCGATGGATAGCATACAGTGTCTAAACGTTCTGAACGATCCCGAAGAAAATCGGAAATTTCTCAACAAGCTTCCGACACATCTTGTTAACAGATGGGTTCGCGTAGTGGATCGAAGGATAGCAGATGACCTTAGCGACGACGGTGATGAAGATAGAGCATCACGAGTTGCGTCTGGATCGGATTACCCCACGTTCGCCGAATTCTGCAAGTTTCTTAAGAAAGAAGCCAGGATCGCTTGCAATCCCGTAACCTTTCAACGCCTTCCCAAGAAGGAGGAACCGAACAAGATACACAAAGCAAAGGTTTTCGCTGTCAATAGCGTCGCTTCACAGACGACGAATGTTCCTGATTCAGAGACAAAGATTATTAAGAAAATAAGTTGCATATTCTGCAAAGAAGCACACGAACTTGATGTGTGTGAAAAGTTTCTCAAAATCCCATTGGTCAAGAAGAGAGAAATAATCGTTACTAACCGACTGTGCTGGGGGTGTCTAAGATGGGGCCACATAAACAGTAAATGTCGCAGGAAGAGAGTATGCAGGACTTGTAACGGCTTGCATCCCACTGCTCTTCATGGTGAAAAGCGTGAACAGAAGATAAAGGCGAGTCCATCAACGCCAAACGTCGCAGAGTCGGAGAAAGACAAGTCGAACCAGGAGAGAACGATTTCCAATCGAGTTGAAGTCCACAGAATGAGCGTATGTACCCGATCCCTTTGTCATTCACTGATAGTTCCAGTTTGGCTTCATCATCAAATAAACCCGGAACGTCGAGTCATGGTTTACGCCCTTTTGGACGAGCAATCAGATGCCTGTTTTATCAAGGACTCAATATTGAATATTCTTGAAGTCGACGGTCCAGAAGTACCACTTGAACTTTCCACAGTGCTCTCTCACGAAGTTATCAAGTGTCAGAAAATCACTGGTCTGGTTTGTCGTGGCATCAACGAAACTGTAGAAGTATCTCTACCGAGAACGTATACGAGAAGTCAGATTCCAGCCAGATCAGAGTCCAAGACCCGAGACAGCCCGTATGTGGCCGCATCTGGAAAAGATCGCGGAGAAAATAATGCCGTATCGAAGTGATGTAGCAGTTGGCCTTTTGATAGGAACGAGTTGCGTACGAGCGATAAAACCACGAGAGATAATCACCGGAAATGATGATGATCCTTACGCTAAGAGAACAATTTTGGGTTGGGGAATCGTTGATACGGTCGAACCTGGTGAAAATAAAGATGTTGAGGATAGTCAGGTAATCGTGAATCGAACATTATGCGGGGAAACCCAAGTTGGTAAAGATAGAAAGGTGTGTCATCTGGCTTTCAAGACCCAGACGAAAGAAATCCTTAGCGCAAATCAGGTGAACAAAATGTTCGAGTTGGATTTCAGTGATCGAGAGAAGGGTAAATCACTTTCGTACGAAGATCGTTTATTCATCAAGAAGATTGAGGAGGGAATACACCAACGTGTCGACGGTCATTACGAAATGCCTCTACCATTTAAGGACGAGAACATTAAACTTCCAGATAATAGGAAGCAAGCTTTCGCCCGCCTTCAGAAATTGAAACAACGTCTGAAAAAGGACAAGAAATACCACCTGGACTATTCGAAGTTTGTTTCTGATACCATCGATAATGGGTATGCAGAACGAGTTCCTGAAGGAGAGCTGAGTCTCAAAGATGGTCGAGTCTGGTACCTATCGCACCATGGGGTCTATAATAGCAAGAAACCAGATAAGATAAGAGTCGTTTTCGACTGCAGTGCTGTGTACGAAGGAGATTCTCTGAATCGAAACCTACTTCAGGGTCCTGACCTAACCAATAATCTGTTGGGGATATTATGTCGCTTCCGCCAGGATAGTACCGCCCTTATGTGTGATTTGGAAGCTATGTTCCACCAAGTCAAGGTTAATGTGGAAGATCGTAATTTCCTTCGTTTTCTGTGGTGGAAGGATGGCAACTTAGACGCTGAGCCTGTCGAATATCGAATGTCATCGCATCTATTTGGAGCCACCTCATCCCCTGGTTGTGCTAACGTTGGTTTGAGGAAGACTGCTGATGACTATGAGAAGATCTGTGGTACCGAAGCTGCTGATTTTGTAAGAAATAACTTTTACGTGGACGATGGTTTAAAATCCGTTCCTTCACCTAGTGATGCTATTTCTTTGATCGAAAGTACGGAAACCCTTTGCAAGAAAGGAGGATTTCGTCTCCATAAGATTATATCGAACAGTCAGACAGTGATAGACACAATTCCACCCGACGATCGTGCGAAGGGTATCAAAGACCTGGTTCCAAGTCGTGACGCGCTCCCTATCGAGAGGGCTCTTGGTGTCCAGTGGTGTGTGGAGTCAGACACTTTTCAATTTAGAATTGAATTGTCAGATCGACCGTTGACGAGACGAGGTGTCCTGGCTACAGTCAGCTCGGTGTTTGATCCCTTGGGGGTCCTTTCTCCATTTGTCCTACTTGGAAAGAAAATTCTACAGCAGTTATGCAGGGAAGCTAAGGAGTGGGATGAAAAAGTGCCAGAGTATCTGGTGCCAGAATGGGAAAGATGGCGGAAAGATATCTGTCTTCTAGCACAGTTGAAGATTCCTCGGTGTTACAAACCTGATGGTTTTGGTGAGATCGACGTTGTCGAGTTGCACAACTTTTCTGACGCAATTGAAGAGGGATATGGTCAGTGTTCATACCTAAGGCTCATTGATCATACTGGTAGAATTCACTGCTCGCTGGTGATGGCAAAGTCTCGTGTCGCGCCATTGAAATCCGTAACTATTCCAAGGCTCGAGTTAACGGCTGCTTTGGTGAGTGCGAAAGTCGGCACTTCACTTCGAAGAGAGCTAGATTACAACGAAATTAACGAAATATTTTGGACGGACAGTAGAGTTGTACTCGGGTACATTTTTAACAATGTGCGACGGTTTCATGTCTTCGTGTCAAACAGAGTGCAGCAGATTCGTGACCTGACTTCAGTTGATCAGTGGAGATATATACCAACGAAGTCCAATCCAGCCGATTTCGCCTCTCGAGGTCTGGATGCCCAACGTCTTCTCGATAAGAGAGAATGGTGGTTTGGTCCGGATTTTCTCTGGTCGAATTTTGATCCTGATTATGGCAGGATTGACGAGGACAATAACATCGCTGCCGTCTGCCCGGACGATCCAGAAGTGAGGAAGTGTTCAGTTATGATAACGAGAACTGAAGAGCATGCTGGTATAGAAGAGCGTTTGAACCGTTTCTCGAGCTGGTTCAAAGCAAAACGAGCGATTGCAATTTGCCTTCGATTTAAGGAGATTCTCTTGGCCCGTCTGCGAAAGAGAAAGTTATCTGGAGAACAGTCAAGTGACTCAAGCGAGGAAAGTTCCAGAGTTATCGCTTGTAATCCAGTGAACGTCGATGAACTGAACGAAGCTGGAAAGGAAATTATACGAGCTGTACAACGAAAGTCATTTATCAAGGAAACATTGTTACTCCACCAGAGAAACGTCGAAGAATCGCTTCCGAACGTTGAAAGAGGGAATAAAGAGAGCCATGGGGTCCCGAAATCCAGTTCTTTATTTCGACTTGATCCAATTCTTGCGAAAGATGGAATTATACGAGTCGGTGGACAGATTAGGCGTGCGAATATGCCATTGGACGTTAAGCATCCGTGTATCCTCCCGAAAAAGGGACACGTGACTGAATTGATCATATGTCATTTTCATCAGAAAGTCGCTCATCAGGGACGTGGAATGAATGAATGAATAGTTTGTTTAATAAAAACATCATCTGGCAGTCAGAAGACTGAATTACATGACGTTAAGTGTTACAAGGTTATAAATAGTAAAAAATTCTATATTACAATGCAATTTAGAAATTGTTAATATATACTATATATCATATACTTAAATGTACTAATCTATATGAGTTAAAAATTCTAAAATATTCAAGGAACATCTGATTTGTAATGTTTCTTAGCATAAAAGTTGATAAAAGAGTTTCCGAAACGATTTGTACTTGCTGGTGAAACTTCAAAAGATCTTTCTTTTCGTAATTCTCTATTGCCTGCTTTGGATGGTAAAAGTTTGGCAAGTTTATGATCATCATTTAAAACAATGTCGTTGAAGAGATTATTGGATAGATACTCCCGTCTGTTTTCAAGAGTAGAAATACCAGCGATGTTAAGAGCCTCGTCGTAAGACAATTCATAGAATATTATTTTCATTGCTCGCTTCTGTATACGTTCAATGTTTTTTGCAAGATTTCGTGGCAGGGAACTATGGAATAATTGGCACGCATATTCGAGGACAGACCTTATACAGCTGCAAAAAAATTTGACCAAATCTGCCGAAGCGACATCAGCACGTTTGAGTTGCCTCAACAAATATAAACGTTTAGCTGCTTTGGAGACAATTGAATTTACATGGTCTATCCATTTAAGGTCATTTCTTAATATAACTCCAAGCGATTTGATACTTGTCACTCTTTCCAAATTTCGGTCACCAATACGTATAGGTTCAAAAACAGGTGGTAATCGTGAAAAGGATATTACCATTTCTTTGCATTTAAATGGGTTTAGTTGAAAGGAATTGTTCATAGACCAAGTAGTAATATCATCGATATCCATTTGTAAAGTACTTTGTTCGTTTTTTTCAACAATTTCAGAGACCGTAGTATCATCGGCAAATTTCCACATTTCTGAAAGGTGATTTTGTAACACAAGGTCATTTATCATGGCTAAGAATAGCCAAGGCCCAAGTCGTGTGCCTTGAGGGACACCAGCTGGAACTTGGAGCCAGTCTGAGAAACAATTATCACTTAGTTTGACCCTTTGCCATCTATTACGTAAAAAGTCAATAATCCAGTTAACCACACAGGGCTTAATACCAAGGCTGAATAATTTCGCAACTAATGTGGTATGATCCACCATGTCAAATGCTTTTTTATAATCAAGAAATACAGTACGAACAGATGAACCACTTCCATCTGTTGCACTCAACCAACAATGGAGCATCGATATCAAGGCAAGTACAGTGGAAGAATTTGGAATAAAGCCAAATTGTTGGGGATCAACAACCTTTAACAAAATTGGTTTTACTTCTCTTTCGATTACAAGACGTTCCGCTATCTTTGATAGGGTGGAAGTTAAGGAAATAGGTCGTAATTCCCTTTCCAAGTCTTTGACAGTAGATATTTTTGGTAAGGGGACCACATCAGCCAGCTTCCAAATTTGAGGGACTTTACAACTTTGAAAGGAAGAATTGATTATATTTGCAACTGGTGAGGCGAGAATATCCGAATAGGTTTTTAAAACCCAATTGGAAATACCGTCAGGGCCACTGGAACGCGATGTACTAATTTCTTGCAATTTTCTAGCTATAGTTGACTCGGTCACAATAATAGGCGTTTCATCGTTGTGTACAATTACAGCCGTATCTTCAGATAATGGAACATAGTTCTGTATCACATTTATAAAAACATTGTTAATTTTATTACTGAGGTTTATGTCTGACCCACAACAGCATTAGGTCTTCCGGATTTTGGATTATTGGTGGTGTTTCGGCAGTCTCCAACCATATTTCCAAATGTGTGAAGTGTAGGAAAGTAAGGGGCGAGTTGCAGAACTTACCCGAGGATCGTTTGGAGCCTTCTCCACCTTTTACCTACAGTGCAGTTGATTATTTCGGACCCTGGTTGGTCAAAGAGGGACGAAGGAACGTTAAAAGATGTGGGGTTTTGTTTACCTGTTTGGTTTCGCGTGCTATTCACCTGGAAACGGCGATTAGTTTGGATACGAGTTCTTTCATGAACGCATACCGTCGTTTTGTTGGCCGGCGAGGACCGATACGTCAATTGAGGTCTGATCGCGGAACGAACTTTGTTGGATGCAGGACAGAGCTTCAAGCTGCACTAAGTGAAATGAACCAAGAGACTGTGAGGCAGAAACTATTGAAGGAGAACTGGATATTGTTATGGTGGATATTGAACCTTAAGAATTGGATATTGTTGTCGTTAACGATGAAGATTTGCCTCGTAACCAATGGAAACTCGCACGAGTCGTGGAAACATTTCCTTCAGACGATGCCCTGGTTAGAAAGGTTAAGTTGGCGATGGCTGACTCCACGTTGGATAGCAGAGGAAGAAGAAAGCGACCAATCTCCTACCTCAATCGACCGGTGCACAAGTTGGTTCTACTGCTGTCGAATGAAGAGTTTGAAGACCAGGGATTCCCCGACGAAGGAGCCAAAGTAGAATTTGTTTCAAAGTACATTTAGGTGTTATAAATTTTATTATATATAAAACGAACAAATAATAGTACTAGTATAGTATAATTAGTATATATAATTTAGTTTAATTTAGGTAAATTGTGGAACAATTTAGGGGAGCCATGTAAAGGATGTTGTTTAAAATCTTTTGCGTGGGTTGGAATTAATTAGTGAACTAATTTGCATGCCACCACGGCTTTATATATAGCAGAACTTTTAATTTTAGTTTCCTTTTTATCTTGTGTTAAGCGTAGACATATACCGTATGTATATAGTATTAGATATTGGCTAATCGTTAAAAGGATCTGCGGGGACAGAGGTATACAGTACGTTGTTATTTTATTTAGTAAATGTTCAGTATGTGGTGGTTTTGTAGTTTTGTGTATATAGATAATGTAGTTTATTGTATTTTTACGTACTGTCGAAGGGCAACGAAATATAAGATAAAAGATTGGTTAAAATCAAAGCGTACGTTGTCTGCCAACGGTTCAGTAAACCACAGCCGCATCTCAAGTTCGATCCTTTATAATAAACGTAGGGGTACACTCAAATAGAAAAAGACAGTGCAATACTCTGAAACTAATCGCTCCTCGCTTGCATTCACTGGTTTATTGGAGCAATTGTAAAGTCTTGAAACTCTATTATCTCCCCTGAATAGAGTTTGCAGTGTCTTGCCATGCAAATAGCTTAATTGCTTGCAAGGAACGTTTGGAATTTTTACGAACATTATTTTTAGTTTTTAATTCTTTTAGGAAATAGTCTTGCCTAGATTTAATCTTTACGCCCCAAATATTATTTACATCGGAGTTGCATCATAAATTGTACTCGGATTCAAACGACACAATGTCAATGACTTTATAAAAATAAAAGCATATTGTGTATTGGCCTATTGGGTTTACACTTTTACAGCTTCATTTAACTTTAACTCTCTCAAGTCTCAACAGACAATCGGACATGCCAAATCCATTGATATGACAACTTCAAAAAACTTTTTCGAAGCTAGAAATCATGATTTTTTCCTGGGATACTTTGTTTTCTGCTCTCTAGACTCTCCCTCGCGGCTCTATAGTGCTCCACCCCTAGAATATAGACCTTACTGGGGTTTGGTGACACTTTGTGTTGCTTCAGTCACCTGCTCACGGCTCACCCCCCTAAAATTTCTGGCACCACCCCCAGTAAAAAATATGAAAATCCGTCTATGGATATAGGTATCTTAAAGTTACATCACACGATAGACGTGCGTTCTGGTGGATTGGACATTGCACAACTAATCTTAGTAGATGTAATTTCACCAAAAAGTGTTGATTACGAAAAAACGTTTGGTGGGCGTTTAGTTAGTTGACCTGCATGTATAGGACGAAAATATACCAACAGCTTATTAATATCATTAACTAGACGAAACGTATGGTTGGGGTTTGTCTGTTAATTAATTGACGTGGTATTAGTAAGCTGAAAACTTCAATTGTCCACCAATAATTAACTATTCACGCACCCAAGAATTTTAACGGAACAAATATTTAAAAGCATTTGTAAAATCATGAATAATTAATAAGGCCACAAACAAATCACGATGCGGTATTTAGGTCACATGTGTCACTCGTGTTAGAGGGATGTTTATGAAAGTTAACAATATTAATTGAGAAGCATGGATGTTTATGTACTATTTAAAAAAACGAGCAGGAGTGTTTTATTAGGTTGCGCGCTCGTGGCTTTAGACCTAATAAAACACGACCTGCGAGTTTTTTAAATGGCTTCAAAAACGTTTGCATAATAAGCCAAATCTTTATATAAAAATCTTTATATAAAAATCTTTATATAAAAAATCTTTATATAAAAATCTTTATATAGTTTGCATAACAATGGTCCTTTGTTAAAGTGTTCTTTAGCTGGTATAAAGACGTATATGCACGTGACTAATTTCTTACTCAAGATTGGATAATTGCTTCATGAATTATTAATGAGTTTTTGAAGTACTAGATAAAACATGAGCAGCCGATTTGTATCTGATATACAAGATCGGATGCGAATGTTTTATATAGTACTTAAAAAATGACCCATCTTATAAGTTCATTGGCGAAGTATTTTAAAAATAAACATTGTCTAAGCCGAGAAAATCAAAGCTGAAGTTTATGTAAATCAGGACAAATCTTTATCCGATTTACAAATATTGATTAAACATTCGTTTCTTTTGTATTTTCCTCGTGAATTATTAATGAATTTTTTAAGTGCATTTAACAATGGCACGCGCTGCGCGCTCGCCATTGTAAATGCCCATAAAGATCAACTGCTCATATTTTAACAAATACTTAAAATTGTTTGCCTATAATACTACGCAGAGAAATGCACTAATTATACATCAAAGTACACGTAATTTGCATGTATAAAGCAAAACATTTAATTAAGCGAACGCTGCCACTATAAAACGGCTCCACTTCGAGAAACATTAAATTGACTAGTTTTCCGTTCGATCATTTTAACATATTTTTAAAAAAAGCCTCGCCGAACCAACGTTAGGGATTTTAGGGTTTGAAACAATGCAAAAATTTGAGGTGTAAAACGATGGATCAACGTGCTAAACAGTTCCTGGTCCCAGTGGTACGATTGTACTTGTTTCGAATACCCGTATTTCTGTTTAGTCGCGGCCAAAACAAGAAACGTTTTAGGTAAATGCCCACCAAACATATTTTTTCTTAATCAGCATTTTTCTGGCTTCACTGAAAATTTGATAAAGCTAAATCTAAGATTCGTTGTGCAATCTACCAGAACGTGCGTCTATCATGTGATTAAACCTTTAAACTACTAAGATTATTATAATCATTCATTAATTTGTTTTTCCTTCTAGGATGGTTGGGTTGGTTGGACATCATTAAAAATCCAATACAGAAAATCCATCACAGCCAAAGAATTTTATAATGGTTACCTCGTAGACAAACACACTGGGAAAATTACGTCATCACTGTTCCAGGATATGGCGTGATGTCAGCTTTCTCATAGAGATTATAAATAACACTAGAGGAGAAATTGTAATCTTAATTCAGTAAAAAAAAGGGAACGCGACTATTGGGGGGCAAATTCAAGTCCCGGATGTGTATTCGTGGTGACGAGTTTCAAATCAGCCAATGAGAGTACGATTTTATGTCCGGGACTTGAATTTGTTCCCCCTCCCCCATTAGCTGCGTTCCCAATTTTTAAACTCGATGCTTCCTCTAGTGTTATTTATAATCTCTATGAGCTTTCTTACGAATGGGATTTTATATGAATAAAGTTCTTTATTGTATAAACATAAGTGTTATATAGAGTTTTTGGCCACTGAGAAAAATCGTATTTAAACACACGTAAAAAATACGATATTTTTGCGTGTGAAAATTTCATTTGTTGTAAAACACATTGCCACGGACGTTTTATTGTTTTTCACTGAATTTTGTTTATATAATAAACAGAAAAATACATGGGTTCTTGGAAATACTAGATTTATTTCTCGTGTTGAACATGATATCTCACTCGTTCGCTGCGCTCACTCGTGAGATGTCATGTTCAACACTCGAAATAAATCTGGTATTTCCGCGCATCCATGTATTATTCTATATATATTTCATTGACTCAGCGAAAGATAACAATATTGATTCAGTTGTTACAGACTCATATAACTTTAATATATGAACATTTTTTGAAAGACTTTGCTGTAATATCTCTAAATAGTAAAAGGTCTTTTAAATTAAATAGAAAAATAGTTTTTCATTAGGCAGCACCTAGCCTCTTTCTATAATATAATAATATAATATAATATAATGAATTTGTCACTTTATACACGATACAAACTAATTAATTAAAGACAAATAAAGACGGATACAAATCGTGACAGGGGAAAGGAACAGGACTCTCGTCCCAATTGACACCTAACCCCTAAAAGGGGTAGGTACCCGTAGTCGCTCGCAGGTACCCGTAGTCTATAAGGGTTAGGGTAGTAGGGTGATCCTGAAAAAATTAGCATGTATATCTGGAGCGAGAATTCGAGTTTAAAAAGTGTAGCGTCTTTGTCCCCAGGCCCATGGGCGCACGGCCCTCGCAATGAGAGCTGAGTTACATAATGTAGACCAAAACCGTACGCCTGGACGAATTGAAACCTACAACGCCCGAATTATTAGACGCCATACTCTCTATCCATCTCCCGAGTATATGCTAGATATATTTATACCATGATCGCATCTACTCAGCCAATCAGAACTCAGTATTTCGGCGGTTTATATCCCATAAATTGTCCCGTAGCGACCTTTATAGCAATAACAGTGGGTCCGTATATAACTCGTTAATAGGACCTGTTCATATGGGCGAACGCAGGGCCGCCGAGAGGGGGGGGGGGAATTGCCCCGGGCCCCGAGGTGCTGGGGGCCCCTGAAAAATTTTTGTTGGGCCCAGTCTTTTTTGTGTGTTAAATATTTCCGCACAAAGGACAAGATATCTGTTTTCTTGGGCTAAGTACCGAAATCTGGCATAAAAAATGAGATAAAGTCCCTGGAAAGCAATAGCAACGTACTCGTCCAGAAAAATTTTTTACTCCGGAAAAAAATTTTTACCCCTAAAATGGTACACTGACCGAAAAATTTTTGGCGACGGGGGGGAGGGTTTTCTCCGGAAAAAATGTTTCCGGAAAATTTTTTTTTGATAGGGGCCCCCCAAAAAATTTTGCCCCGGGCCCCCGCCAACCTCTCGGCGGCCCTGGGCAAACGTTTTCCCGGTTAACGAGAAAACATTCCGACTAGCCAAATACTTTTGTTCTGTTCTTATGGAGAAACGTTATCCCGCTTACCTGTTCGGATTAGATCATTCTATAAAGGCCATGTTACACGGTGCAATTTTTCTTGCAACTTGCAATGCAATTCTATACTCTTGAGAGATGTTAATTAATGAAATCAGTGAAGAATTTTCGATATGTTGAGAAAACATCAGCGGAGTGTAATGAAGACTCGTATTTGGCAATTGTACATCTCTCAAGAGTAGAATTGCATTGCAAGTTGCAAGAAAAATTGCACCGTGTAACATGGCCTTAAAGCGCATGTTTGTTTATTCTCTCAATATTTTTACTCTGCTCTTGAGTTAAATTTCCATACCACATTTGCGCACCGTATTCTAGGGTTGACCGTACAATAGCACAATAAAATGCTTTTTGGTCTTCTGTAGACGCACCAAGCATGCTTCTTGCATGAGTATTTTTAACAAGTATAGCCATTTAGCCGCCTTTTTGGTAATGTGTTCAGTATTCGTTGACCACTTCAAGCCATCGTCCAAATAAATCTCCAACAATTTGTGAGACTTCTCTCGAGAGATGGATTGAGCCTCTATTTTTAAATGTGGGATATTTCTTATACCCTTCCTAAAATCTATGATAATTTCTTTGAATTTTTGGCGTTAAGTTCCAATTCTTCTTATTAGCAAATATGGCTACTTTGTTGACATTTTCTTGGGTATTTTCAACTGCAGACCCTGAGGTATGATCATATCTGAGACATCGATCACCTCAGAGAGAGTAGTATCGTCAATAAAACATGATAGTTTCCCCCATCATCATGTAGTTTATGCCTCCATTAATTCTCATTCGCTCTGATTTTAAATCTTGATATGAAGTTGTTTATGACCGTCCTTTAAATATGAGGCAAACCAACCAACCATTCCAGGCCGTACACCAATGTCTCTAAAATTTCTCAGTAGTCGGTCAGTGCCATGGCGGTCCAAAGCGATCTGTGCCATGGCCTGCGCTCGTTTGTCACCAAATGTCAGGACTGTCTTGATATAAACACCAGGCGCTCGATCCGTTTCCATGCTTCTCCAAAGGTACCGGTGTACATGTTGGTCTCGCTCAGGAATTAGGGCTCTATGATACATCTTGGATACGTCTGGGCTAAAATCGTAACAGAACTCCAAACAGATTGTTCAGCAGTTCAGGCCCTTTCATCCAATAATCATTTAAGCGATGCCCTTTATACAATGCTGAGGAATTGAAAACAATTCGGATCGGTGTGCCCTTCTTCTCGAGTCTAATTATCTCGTCGTGGGATATGCAGTGGATTGGTCCTTTCATCCTTTGTATGACTTTAACTCTTCAATGGAAAATTTTCGGGAAAAGTTCATTTCTCTTATCTCCTCCATCTGCTTGTCATGTGCTTTTGCATGATACGGATTCTTGGCTAATCGACGCGCGCTTGTTTCTAATTTTGTCTCTACTTGAATTCGGTTATCAGGCAATTCCGTTGCATCTTTGACCCAAGGATACGGAACTAATCACTGATTACCAATCTTTTGGCAGGAATTTTCTATAATCTAAGCTTCGTAGGATTCGATCGGGCTTAACTTCTTGGTTTCACACCCATAGACTCCTCAATCCTAACGTCAGTCATATCGATCGATCCATAGTCAATAGACGAGAGGGTTTGGAAGATCGGCAAACTTCAAGACTTTGCAAAGTAATTAGTTCAAGATGTTGGAAAGGTACGTCACGTGACAATACGGGTGCATCGAATTCACTAGAGCGTAGTATTACAGAAATACGATATATTGTGATTATCGTCTTATAGTGTGTATATCCTTTACAATAGTAGCGAGATATGCTAAACATAATCCGGCTTTGTCTATATTTGTTTTAGCTTGAGGGTTTGAAGCAATATCCTTGCGAATATTGCTCGAAAGTCTGCAAGTCTAAAGGAGGACGTACAAAACATACTCGCAGCAAACATGATTAATATGATGTCAAAGCTGGTAAAGCCGAGGGTATTAAAGCTGGTGCTTTTAAGAAAGAGAAAAAGCAAATCCAACGCTATGCAACATAGGAGAAGATCTTGTCGTTAATTCGCGAAATAGGGAAAAGCCTGACAGATAAAAAAATCTATCCAGCCAAACAAGTAGCTGCAGCTGTGTTTATAAGCTACATTCCAGTGAATCATTCATTCAAGATGTGAATGCTTTATTACACAAGTTTCATCGCAAGAGAGATCGTGATAAATTGATGCAAGAGTACTATGGGAAAATGTATGCCTCGTGGAAAGAATTTTTCGTCCATGTAAAGATCAAAAAGTGGTATTTTTAATGCTAATAAGCTTACCTGAACGGTTAATCATCCTAACGCAAGATGGTTCTCAAGTCACCAGTGAAAATGGGGTAAGAAAAACAGTCAGACTATTATATATTTATTGCATTTTTAATTACAGGCTAAGATAATATGCATTATTTATGCCAATTATTTTGATAATTTGGTACATCTCTTAATAAGACTGTCAAATTTTGATATTAGATGCAATGATTCCTTCAACCATATCACTACTACAGCACAGTCCGCCTTCTTCCAAACTGGTTTGAATTCAGCCATATTTTATAACTTGTCGTTTTCACTTAATTGTTGGACACCTTAGATTTCTTATATACACTACGGATAGTGCATCTAATTATTCTGCAATTCAAAAATTGAAGCCGTGATTGCAGACTCAGGATATTCCCATGAAATGAGAAGATTCGTATGTTTTCTATTTCTTAAACATGGAACTTAAAGATTAAGTTAAACCTATTCCAAATACATTCTTAAACTATTCAAATGATGAAAGTTATTGTTGTTTTTTAAGCGTTTATTAGGGAGTGGGAACTACCAACATGGCCGCCATCTTTTCAAACGGGGTTAACAGCTGGAATATTCTTGGCTTCAATTTTACTAAAAGAGATGAGCTATCTAGTGTATATAAGATATCTATGTTGGACACCAGTTGGTTTTTCTTGTTGAAGACAAAGGGAAGTTTTGGAGCTAGGGTAAAGATATGTCTAAGAAATTTGACTGGTCCTTAGGACAAGTCTTATCAGAGTCCAAAGTAATTTTAAATACGTTTAGTTACGTTTACGTTAGTTTAAAAACGTTTTCATTTCTACTTTAGAGTGAATTGTCTGCCACACCACAAGAGCTTGAACCCTTTGCATATTTATGCTATTACTTCATACGCGCCCGCATTACTTACCTATTGAGGATTCTATAGTACTTCATATTCTTCATTCATGTCGACATTATTGCGAAGAATTTATGCAAATCTTTTTAAATTACAGTAAGTTTATCATTTCGATTATTTTCCACTTATTACTGACAGTAGTTGAGCCTCCTGTAATGAACCTAATCAATATAGGTGAATACAATAATGTTGATTAATCATAAATCATTTCTGTCCAAAATGAGAAGTTAAAATGGGCAAATTTCGTATTTCAAGAAAAACCCGGTGGCGAAGCTAGACATAGCAGCTGCATGGTCATGCTGTGCAATTTATTTTTAGTTTTTAATTACTCAAAACCTTTAGATCTTTATGTCTTTAAACTACATAAGTGTACGTTTATTTGCATAGCATGATCAGTTGTAATGGATTGATCGCCACAAA